CTTTTAGAGACCGAGTGCCCAAACTGCGACCCAAAACCCACTTAAGTATCGCAAAGGGCCAACACGGCCATTTAACCTGAATACTGAGGTTTTACTTTAGAAAAAACAACTCACACATTAACTTAAGATGATCCAAACAAAGTAAGGAAAGCAATCCCAAATGCTTTCATTTACTTAAAATTATTTGGCAGAGAATTTGACACTTTAATGATGGTCTGGGCCTGGCTGGGGCGATGGCACGTGTGCCCACAGAGAGGGCTCTGAGCACCACCTCTGGCACCCGTGCCATAGGTTCGCCACCACTGCTCTAGAGCAAGTTGTTTACTTGGTATTCATTTCATCTTCCCTGTACCTTTCAAAGTGGCTCTTGTAGTAATCATTCGCGAATGTTCAGAATCTGGGTTCATCACAGATACAGTTTAGTGAAAAAGCACGCACTCCTAAAAACTGGACATCCCGTCACTGAATAATATGTTTATATCTGTAGTAGATGATCAATTGAAATTCAGTACAGGTGTCTGTTTCTCTTTCTGATCAATGGGAGCAAAAACCAGTTTGCCTTTCCTTGTACTATTTAAGATTCCAGGCTAGAGTGAAAAACTGCGAGACCTTTAAAAAAAATTATTGCGAGCACAAAAAAATTTACTCCTTTCTGTAGAGAGTGCAGCAACTCCAGTGCGTAACTCTTGCTATTGAAGGCGATGATTGCGTAAAGATATTCTCAAGTGCAGTATTTGAATTAATAGTCGCAATAAATGAATTACGTTAACAAGCACACCCAGAGGCTAACACCATACAGGAGCCATTTAACACTTAAAAAGTGTTAACTGCTTGTTTTTGAATATGAGCATTAGTACTAGCAATCTTATATGAGGCAAAATGTGTGAAACTAATGCTGTGATTGCACCAATTAAAACTCCTCACTGGCTGATGGGCTGAGATACTTGAGTTTCAAATATAAGTGTTTTTCATAGCATTTATAATGTGTAAGTGTGCACTTGTGAAGCTGAGTGTAAAGGAAGAATGTCCATGAACAGGTTTATAAGGAATTGTCGAGGAACAGCTGAAATGGCAAAGAATAATTTTTTCCGGCCCTCTTGGTCTCTCCTAGAAAACGTAATCATGTCACAGACTGGTAGGGATGCATTGTTTGAAAAGCAAGAGCCAGGACTGAGCTTGTGTTTCATAGTAGTTGTTTCTCCTCAAGGACCCAAGAAATCCCGTATCATCCCAATACTGGTTGGCTATGGGGTGTGAAGAGAACTGTTCTTCTTGGCTGCACCACAGTTAAGGGGCTTTCTTCCCCTGGAGATCTCCCATGAATCATTCACAGTGTAAAAGACAGATGGGGACTATCACTTCCTGAAGATTGAGGGTGAGGGTGAGGGGAGAGCGTCAAACATTTTTTCTTTTTCTGAAAAAGGCAAACATTTCTAGTGCCCTCTTTTAACGTAATATTGCTAGGTAGCAAACTCACATTATTGAGAACTTCGATCCAATATTTGAAAGTAATAATGCTATTGATGATCACAGTGCTGCTTATAGTATGCTTAGATGCCTTTGCAAAACCTTAGTGGCTCCTCCCCCTCCCCCTGCACATGGAAGGCTTGAAAGCCTTCAGCCAAGATCCGATTCGCAGTGATGTCAGAGTGCCCGGGTAGGTTCATCTTGAGATTTTCTCCCTCCTCCCCAGACTGTTCTGGGGCGATGCACAGCTGAAATTGAAAAAGTTGCAAGGGGAACCATGATGGAACTTCCATCGAATTTTCACCCTTGTTGGGAAATGCAATTAAACAGGGTTGGGTTGCATTTTCTTTAGAAGCAGTCCCACAGTAGGTTTCCTCATAAAAAATAATCTGAACTTGATACGCCTTGATGGTCAACAGATAATTTATGAAACATGCCAGCAGAACTAGGCTGTCAAGTTCTGTGTGTCTTTTAATGATGTTTCCCACAAAGGATTTGTGGAAACTGGGTGGTGGGGTGTGTGTGTTTTTAGAATGTTGTTCATTCTCAGTGGATGTATAATTCAATTAGCTTTTCACTAGAACACCAGAAGAGGTTTGATTTGATTGCTTAGCTGCTTGATAAAAATGGGCTGTGAACATGCAAGCACTCTTAAGTGTCTCCAGTAAAGCATATGCAAGCTTTCTCCATCTTGCTGCATTTGTGCAAGTATCATCCTGGCTTTTAACCTTAAATCGTCTGTTCTAAATTTAGCCACTGAGCTTCATAGAAGCATAATCAGGAAGACTAAATTAAATCTGTGTCAGAAGGTCCTGGGACAAAAGAGAATGTCAAATATAGATGGTGATCTAGTTTTAGATCACAGTTCAGAACAAACTGTTTTTAACAGCTACTTCAGGGGGAGAAATGCTCCATCCTACAAGTGTCTCCCCCCCCCAACAAAGAAAGTGATAGGATTAATTTAGCTCAAAATTTGTCAGAGATCTTCCTTAAACCTACAAGTGAAACTTCTGCAGTTGGTGCTTTACTTGGCAATGACAAATTAGCTTGATTTTTGACTGTGGGAGACCTTTAGGAGGTCGCATCACGATCGGTTTGTGTATGAAGAAACAAAATCCTTCTGCTTAATGTGCTTGTCGCTTGCGTTATTTAAATCCAGATCATGTTTTTAACGGTCGCATCACGATCGGTTTGTGTAGGAAGAAACAAAATCCTTCTGCTTACTGTGCTTGACGCTTGTGTTATTTAAATCCAGATCATGTTTTTAACAAATTTGACACCGATATTTCTGCTTCTAGTTGTTTGTTTTTGGTGCATTTCTAGGTTTCTGAGTGTCTGGGTTGTGAATATCTAGGCAAGGTCTTTCTCTTTACCACTGGGCCAGGTTGGATCAGAACACTTATCAAAACCAGTATACCGAGGGGAACATTTTATCATTTACTAACCAAAGGTAGTACTGTACTGAGTAATGTAAAACAAAATATGTGTTATTTGTATATGTACTTTTCTTATTATAAGAATAAAAAAATAAATTAAAAAAGACCTGTGGCTGCTCTTCTGCTGTTTAAAAGGAACATGGCAATAACGAATATAAGAGTTCACACGGGTCATATGCACACGGGCTCAGATTGTGTGGCTGGTTCTGGATTTTATCTCAGAAACCAGTTGTGCAGCACTAGCCCACACACACCAAATATTATAAACCACCTTGATGTCAGAGGCAGGCCGATGTGTTGGGTGGGTTGAGAGGCAGTATGTATACTTGTCCTGCCCCTTGTCGTGTGTAGGGGTGAGATCGGTGGCCAAACCATCCAATCCTTTAAGTGTTACAAATGAAAATTCCTGTGCCCGTAAGGTGCTGTTTAGGGCCAAAGCCCTCCACAGTTTATGTTCCTGGTCTACAAAGAAAGAGAAATGTGGTTCAAAAGAATGTGCAGTGTGGGATTCCTGGCTTATTTCAGCCCTGCAGTTCTAGATTTTTCCAATTCCCAGATATACAGTGACTCATTGCCGCTGCTCAACAATGGGAACGGCACCTCCTCTGTGGTTCCAGTTTGGCAGGACTGACTCAGAGAATACACAACATTGGAGAGGAGATCTACAGCATTACGATGAGTCATCCAAGTTTCTGTGTTGGCTAAGAGAAACAGGATATTAATGAGAATGTGGTCTTGTATACAGCAAAGCAAACTGGGGCACTCAGCAAATTAATTGTCTAAAAGAGAATGATAAAAGGGGTCTTTACCCCTGGGGACTTGAAAGGCTGTCCTGTTTCAGCAACTATTTGAGCCTTTCTTTCTTCCCTGTTAGCATCCTTTTGCTGCTATTAGCTTTGAGTGACAAACTGGTGAAATATAATTCTAGGAGGCAGTGAGCAAATTGCATAGGTGTTAGAGTGTGGAATGTACTGTAACTTAAGATGTATTCTTTTTTTAATTAGAAATTTGCCTGCAACGGTGCTGCTTTTAAGTGCCATATTGTAAATGAGTAATTTACAAACGATGCAAGTATTCCTTAGTGCCGGCATATCCAGTTCAGTTTCCTGGCTTTGTGTTGCCCTCCTCTCTTTACGTTATCGTCAGAAGATGGGGCTAATGCAAGATTTCCGCAGCCTGTCACTCTGACCCATAATGGGTCTGTTTGCCCAGTCTTGATGTACAGACCAGGGGCATCGTTCTGGCACAGTGCCATGAGTTGGGCTGCGGCGGCCATGGGACTTGCATCCATCAGCCTGCGTGAGTCTTACACACATAAGGTTTAACTGGGAGGAAACTTCGCAGGAATTTTGAAACTGCACAAGCTGTCATGAATGGGAACAGGAGACTGGGGAATTATCGAGATGGAAAAAGTTGCACAAGCTGTTTGAAAACTATTGGGTAATGGTGTGTGCTAAGAATAATGAAATAAGCCTTGATGTTCCCACATACTTTTCTTTGCAATGCCTACAGTTTGCAGTGTTAACTTGCATGTATAATCACTTCGTTAATTTAGTGCCCAAACGGAAAAGTCTTCCTTGTTACTTCCAGCCCTGGCTTAAATGCTGCTCTTCTCCGATTTACTCTTCAGGTAGTCTAAAGAGGGATCACCTTTACTGTTGCTGTGTATTGTTTTCTACTGTTTTTAAGTGAGTCTGTGAATCTGAGTGTCTATCTGTAGCCAAAACTCTACTTCTAATGGTCTGGATATTCTGGACCACTTGCTTTTTATAAATTTCTTCTCTGTATCCTCTGGTTTCCTCCGTGGCCAACCCATTCGTCCTTGAACTTCAGTGATGTTTGAGCACTGTATCATCTAGTATTTATACTTTACTAGAAATGTTAAAGGTCTTTGGCTCCATTAGAAATAAACTTTGTAGCTCACTACAGAATACCGTTCATTTTTCCTATGTTATGGTCTTGGTTAATTTATAGTTCCTGGACTTGCTTATTCTGGCAATAAAGGTTGGCGTGTCTAGCAAAGCGAATAGCTTGTTTTAAACCATTGTTAGGCTTTGTAAACCTAATCCACAAATGTCCTCCTCTTGTTCTCAACAGGGTGAATCGATAAAATATTTCCTGGATAATCTGGACCGGATTGGTCAACTGGTAAGATTTGTCTATCACCCCATATCTCAATGTAGTATGTTGTTAGCTTTGACTTGGATCGTTAAGAAATCCAGATATTGTCTGTGAAATAAATAAGTTATGGAAGTTATGGAAAAACAACAAGTTATGGAAAGATCCATAGGGTTTGATGTTCCTATAAAATACAGACTATGCAGGACTTCCAAGCAGGGTTAAACCCTGCTTTATAATCGTCTACCATTGTCTTTTTTAAAAAACTGCTTCCGGCTCTTTCTAGTCAGTGGAGCAAAACCGCTTACATAGAAATGTACATATTTCAAACCACGGTACCTTAAAATGGATCGGTGACGATACTGACATCATTAGGTTAAAGTGTTGTTGTTGTTCTTTGAGACAGAGTAGGTAATATGGATGTAGGCCAGTAATACTCGCTCAGTGACTCAGAAACCACATGTAGCTCCACTTGTGGCTCTCCTGATCACTCCTCTCCAGTGTGCCACCTTCCTCCTATTTCAGGGAAGTGGGCGTGGGACTTGTGTTTGGCAGGTGGTTTCTGCCTTGGAACAGCCACTGCTGGAATGACTAAGCTGTAAGCCTCCATGAGATGTGGGCCTCATGCCAGAGATGCAAGTGAATATGGTTGATAGCAACTGAGAATGTGGCTTTCCCACAAGCCACAGAGTACCACCGATGCAGACCATTAGAGAACTTCAAAACATACCTGCATTGCATGGAGTTGTCAGCAAGTCAGGCTTGTATTTCACATTGAGGACTGCACTGGTAGCACCTAGAGGCACGGGAGATCGCCTGTGCCCACAGAAACGAGACACCTGAATCAGATCTTAGAGCGCAGCAACAGCACAGTAGATATCATTGTTTTGAGGGATGTGGGGTGTGCGTGTGTGTTTCCCCCTTTCCTTTTGTCAGAGAACAGAGGTGAAACAGAAAAACAAGAATTGCCACTCTTGCAGTCTGACTACACAGCCTTTTAGAGGCATCTCATCTGTTCATATTGTATAGCGTAGAGGTGAGACTTAGCCTGTACCAGTGACACGGAAACCTTTGCAGGACTTGGCTTATCAGAAACTCCAGGTCTTTATTGCATGTACTGCAAGCTTACTGCAAGCTACTTCAAAGGATAGGATACAGAGGAGGCTTATAAATTTAGATGAGTTTCTCCTTTTACTGAATTTGCTTTGGGCCAGTTCACACACTCCAAGGGATGTGGAGAATATCCTTTGAGTGACTGAGAGCTGTTTGTGTGTTAAAGTGTCCGTGCGATGCTTTGAAATGAATGAAATCTGACTCGGCCCACGTCTTTGTAGCTGACCGAGTCTTGTGAGACCGGCCTTTAGTTTATCTCCTCTCCCACTCTCTTCCCCGCAGTCACCATACCTCTAGCTCCAGTTGTTCCTCTGCCTGATGCATTATCTCCTCCTCATATCTGTCTCTTCTTACAGAACTACTTTCCCAGCAAGCAAGACATTTTGCTGGCCAGAAAAGCGACCAAGGGCATTGTGGAACACGACTTCATCATCAAGAAGATTCCTTTCAAAATGGTTGATGTGGGCGGACAGCGCTCTCAGCGTCAAAAGTGGTTTCAGTGCTTTGACGGGATAACGTCCATATTGTTCATGGTCTCCTCCAGTGAGTACGATCAGGTCCTCATGGAAGACCGGCGCACCAACAGACTGGTGGAATCCATGAACATCTTTGAGACCATCGTCAACAACAAGCTCTTTTTCAACGTGTCCATCATCCTGTTCCTGAATAAAATGGACCTCCTCGTGGAGAAAGTGAGGAGCGTCAGCATCAATAAGTACTTCTCAGACTTCAGAGGCGACCCCCATAGGCTGGAAGACGTTCAGCGTTACTTGGTGCAGTGTTTTGACCGGAAGAGGCGGAATCGCAGCAAGCCTCTTTTCCACCACTTCACCACAGCCATAGACACTGAGAACATCCGCTTTGTGTTCCACGCCGTGAAGGATATGATCCTTCAGGAGAACCTTAAGGATATCATGTTGCAGTGAAGGAAAACTGCCTTCCTTCTATCCGAATCTACTCTAGTCATAGGCCAAAAAATACTACACGTGTGTGGTTCTTGGAATGGGTTTGTGAAACAAACAAGAAGGTGTCGTTTACTTAGCTCAAGGAAGCTGCGAAGTAACCAGTCTGTGAAAGCGGATGAGCTGCTGGATTTTTAACTGAAAACACTACTGAAAAAAGTGGCTATTTTAAGTGCAGTGCCTTCTTTTGAACACTGAATGATGCTACCACCTTCTGCCTTTCACAAAAAAAAAGAGAGAATCCTAACTGTTAAAAACCGTAAAGAGCATTCTTGTTTTGTTTTAATTATTATCATTCTGCAACAGTACCAGAACTTGCTGACCATAACGCCTTGTTTATTTGGGGGGCACTGAACTAACGAACGGAGTAAATGTATTCCATTCTCTAAACTGACAGTCGTATTTCAAGAATCCAGTGGCAAGGGGTTCACAACCATATCCATATTTGGTGGCTACAGAATGGTTTTGGCAAAAGTGGCGATCCAGCTGTTCATCCAAAAATCTCTCTTCGGCTTCCCTTGCAAGGAAGTTCAGGACTACGAATGGGATTTAGCTGGCCTCAAGGGGCAGAAGTCGAAGTCTTGGGCTGGCATAATACAAGGCTTTGTTTTGCACTACATGCATCATGTTCGTTGCGTCATGGGCCAAGAGACTTCTGCAGTGTTAACAGCATGAGACCAGCACTCAAAACGCCTCAGCACATAGTGGATGCTCCAGAGATATATCCTCTTGTGCCTGGAGTTGAAACTAGAAGAACTTCCTCCTCCTCAGTCGGACAGTGTTTTTGTATCATAGATCGGAAGCCGATGCTACCCTTGTCCAGATATTTGGTCGGCAGGGGCAGGTCAATAACACGAAAGCCAGACCATCTTGAGATTTCTCCGCTTGACAGCTGCACTGAATCTGGACCGTGCTCTTAATTAATCTGCAATGTGTCTTGGGGGGGGGGTTATGAGCCTGAACGATACACATTTAACCCACAGTAAACTGCCAAGTCTAAAAGTTGCCACTTCCAGGCTACTACAGAGTATATGTGAATTTACAGAAGTCTATCGATGGAGTGGATTGTTTTTAATTCTGAAATGTGTAGTTTAAATATGGGTGCCTTTTTCTGTGTGTACAGGTGTTTCACACTTCCTGCTTTGAGGTCTGTATTAACCTGCCTTTTCAGCGCCATAGTTGTCAGGGATCTCTTTTTAACATTACTATGCTGTTGGTACTGTAGTTGTCATAATAATACCTAAAGGGCTAGTCTTTCCCGTATCACATTATCCGAATTCTGTAGCTATGCCTCTTGGCAGCGCCTTGCCTTAAATGGGAGGCGGGCGCTCCAGGAACTAACAGCACAAGTAGCACCAATCTTTAAAGCAAAAGAAAATCTAGGATCTTTTGTGGATTGCTCAAGTTTATATAAGTGTGTGTGTGTGTTACGTACCATACTTGGTCAACCAGAAGTTTCCTGTTCTTGTAGTGATGTTTTGTGCACAAATCAAGCTGGGTTTCGGAAGCAAGGAACCAAGTCGGTCTCCTGGTTTCATGTAAAATTAAACGTTTTTAAGGTAGCAAAGGGCCAGTGGCTACAGAACTTCCAGCCCTTTGGGAGGTGACCTAACATATGGCTTATTGTGTAATGTCACATGTCTTTCTAGGACCAATCGTTTTGCTATTTCAGCACCTGCTTCTAGAAAAGGAAGCAGGTTGCCATGCATGTGCCACAGTGTTGAAGCAGTTTCGTAGTGGTGGCAAGTTGCAGGGGTTTCCAAGGCAAGAGACGTTCACAAGTGGTTTGCCATTGCCTGCCTCTGTGTCATGATTAGAGATGTAAAATTTCCGGAAATTTTGAAGCTTGGAAAAAAATCCGGGTTTTTTCCGGGGGGAAACGGAAATTTTCGGAAAAATTGAAAAAAAATGCTACATTAGCATTTCTTTTGTCTTTTCTAGATTGAAAGTCATTCTGTTACTTTAGGAACATAAAATATGGCTATGGACATTTTTACTTGGCATGAAATTATCACAACTAGCCTATTAAAAATATAGTGTATCCAAACAATTATTACAAACAGAATACCCACCCACATGCAAAAACAAAACTGAAACCTTTTTCTTTTCTACTAACAATAGCACCTCCTAAAGGAAGAAATGCATCTTGTTCTTGCATTGGAGCGTTCAGTTTGTAACCTAGGACTTGCTTGTCCGCAGTGCAGAGAAATTAGATTAGGGCGGGGTGTAAATAAATAAATAAAAATAAATAAATATATTAGAAATGATTTGAAAAATATTTGAACACCTTGTCTTAAAATATTTTATTCATCATGTTAAAAAAAAAGTTCCATAATCAGTTTTTTTTCTTTTCTTTTCTTTTTTCAATTTTTCCAATTTTTTTTTCTTTTCTTTTCTTTTTTCAATTTTTCGGAAAAAAACCCAAAAAGGCTTCAGGAAAAAAACAGAAAAAAAAATGGGTTTTTTCCCGAATTTTTCCGTTTTTTCCCCGGACCTTCACATCTCTAGTCATGATCACCCTGGACTTCCTCGGTGCTCTCCCATCCAAATATTAACCAAGGTGGACTTTGCTTAGCTTCTGAGATTGTACAAGAACGGGCTAGCCTGGGCCATCCAGGTGGGGTTATAAATGGTGGCTGAAGAGCTAACCGGTATCAACCTCCTTTACCGTTGCCCATTTTGCCTGTTCCGTTAGAGTGAATGCTGTTTGTCAGTGATCGTCATGCTGCATCTTTTGAAAATACGAAGTGTCACCCTGCCACGTGGCATTCAAAGCTGAGAGGAACCTCAAAAACAGGCCGTGATGTGGCACGTGCCTCCTCCGATTTTAAAAGAGGTCATCGTTCCCACCGGCAGTGTTCCCTCTAAGCTGAGTTAGTGTGAGCCAGCTCACAGTTTTTTAGCCTCCGACTCGCCCATTTTTGTCTCAGCTCAGGAAGGAGGGCTCCAGAGTGAACTGATTTATGCAGTAGCCAAATCACTCGCTCACAATTTTAATGCCAGTAGCTCACAAAGTGGAAGTTTTGGTCACAAGACTCCGCAGCTTAGAGGGAGCGTTGTCCACTGGTCATGCTCAGATGAATGCCTGAAATAGTCCTCCTGGGTTCTGGTTGCTTCATTTAAAAAAAAACAACTTCTCAGCAGTAATTTTCTATCCTGACCACTGAAGTTGTCTTTCAGGCTTCTCCAGGGTGCCTCATACATAAACCTTTGCCTGCCCTGCAGTGGCATACAGTAGTACACCCCTGAATCATGCTACCCTTTTGTATTTTAAGAGCTAATCTGCTGTAATCCTCATTTTTTTTTCTAACTGCAACCATCCAGAAGTATGACTACTAGACTGCTCACTTGCAGGGTGTCGTATGCGCCATCCTTTGGGCTCGTACAGCCCTCTTTTGCTAAGATGTATGTCTCTTGCTGAAATGAATATGCTCGATTACAGCAGGTTTGGGGCAGCCAAACTAGAACTGACCAGCCCGATATGCTTCAGATGCTTCATTTTGCCTTTGACCGTCTTCATTTTTTCCTTCGTACATTTAGTCATGATCAGAGCTGTGGTCCTTGTGTTGATTATCATTGCTGCTGAAGCTTGATATATAAATTCTTACAGTTACACAGACGTGAAATGCGTGAGCACAAAGTCAGTCGGAGGTAATCCTGTCTTAACCAAATCAGGATCCCCGGCACGATCCAATTTAAGTTGCCGTTACTAACAGTTGTGCAAAAACCGTTCGAACTCCTTAACTGTAGTCCTTCGGGTGCTGCTCGTCAGTATTCGGTTTAAGATCCAGAATGCATTTTTAATCCTAGCGCATCGGTGTGAGGCCATGTTTGTTTGTTTTGCCGTCACGTGACAGCTGACTTAGCGATGACCCACTGGGGTTTTCAAGGCAAGAGAAGTTCAGAGGTGGTTTGCCTCTGCCTGCCTCGTGTCGCGACCCTGGTATCCTTTGGCGGTCTCCCATCCCAAATACTAACCACAGCTGACCCTGCTTAGCTTCCGAGATCAGACGAGATGATGCTAGCCCAGAGGTGGCCCAACTGTGGCTCTTTCACACATATTGTCAGCTGGGGAGCAGAGGGGAGGCGTGCCTCCCCAGTTGGTCTTCCCTTCCGCAGCCAGTGTTCCCCTCCCTTGGGTAGGCGTGAGCTGTGTGGCAGGGAGCAGAGAAAGATAGCAACTTTAACTTTAAATGCATTCTCAAAGCCGTCTGGCTTGAGAGAAGGCGTTTGTCTCTTTAAATCCCTTTGCCAAGCCAGCCAGCGGGGGAGTGGGTGGGTGGGGCTCGGAGGATGCATTTAAAGTTATATCTGTTTTTACCCCCTTTTTTATTTTTGGCAGGCTCATTTTCTGTTAATAAAAAGCAAATCTGCGTATTTTTCGATAAAAACGTGTGTAATATTTGTTCCTGCCTTGCGGCTCTCCAACATCCGATGTTTGTTCTGTGTGGCTCTTACGTTAAGCAAGTTTGGCCGCCCCTGTGCTAGCCTGAGCCATCAAGGTAAAGGTTCCCTTGCTCGAAAGCCAGTCGAGTCCGACTCTAGGGTTGCGGTGCTCATCTCCGTTTCAAAGCCGAAGAGCCGGCGCTGTCCGAAGACGTTTCCGTGGTCATGTGGCCAGCATGACTAAACACCAAGGCACACGGAGCGCTGTTAAGTATCTATAAGTTAAAGCTGAGCCATCTAGGTCAGGGCAATTAGGTGTTCCGCAGCCACCTGATTGCCTCGTCGTTTTTCCCCTTGTCAAAGCCGAAGGGCGTGTGCCTTTACTTAGAACATGGGGAACTCTCTGTGGGGAAGGGACATTTAGATGAAGTGCACAGTTTCATGTGGAAGTGGGTCGCACCCAGGACAATCTAGTACAGGCCTTGAACTTGAGCATCGCATGCTTTGTACCGACTAGTCTCTGGCTCCTTGCCAGTGTTTCTCATTTGTCAGCGGAGGGTGCTCTGTGTGTTAAAACAAAGGACAAGAGAGGAAGTGTGTGGGGGTTCTTTCTGCCATAATGTGCTTGCTTATATAAACTCTTCAGGAATAAGTCTTGGGAAACTTGCGGCTTCCCTTCTGTGGAAGGGGGGGGGAATGAGAACTCAGACTCCTTAATTTATGCTGAGTGGTCTGACGTGAGTCCTGCCAGCAGTGCACAGTTGGAACAAGTTCTGAAGCTGCCAGCATCACTGTACCCTAGCCGATTTTTGTCCACCAAAGTTGCTTAAAACGCATATTTTCTTCCA